GTTTTTTTTCTATTATGTTCACCAAATAAAATTCATCATCATCATCAAATCAGATAAGTTTAGTTAAATGTACTGTTTAATGAACATGGTAGGTGACCGCAAAATATTTTTATGATTCAAATAATGTAAATAAATGAATTGGCTTACTGGCTATTTAATTATTCTAATTGCAATTGTGATATGTTTTAAGTAAAAACATTATTGCCTCATCAGTGATAGTAAAACATATTTTTAGTATTTAATTAGCAATTTGATTTACAAAAGATCAATGGGGAGGTGAGGGAGGATTAATGTGGTAACAATGGTAACAATTCATTTACCAAGTAAGAAATGTCCAGATTGTCTTTAAAACAAAAAACCTGTGACAAAGTATGTTTTTTTTGCAAAATATGCAAATGACAATGTTCAGATTTAGTTTTCAAAGAAGAAATGAGAGTCAATAGATTATTAGAGTTGAATTTTTGTATATTCAGTGCCTCAATCCAAAGTGTGTTATATCATAAGGTTTGAAAAAACTAAGAATAACTCTTATACTAAAAACCATTTGGAAAGATATGATTAAATCCAGAGAAGATTACATCTTTTGTATTGACTCATTATCCAAGTATACCTACTGATCTTTCATTTAATACAGAATTTAAACAAACAAAAGAAAAACACTAAAATATGTTTTTAAAGATAATAAAATTATTTCATCAATACAACAACCTAAACATGTGTACAGATGACTGAACAGGCCAAAAAAATTGTTTTTTCAATGGAAGTTATTTTAAGTTCTGAAAACAATAATTGTGCTTTATGTAATTTAGGTTTTATAAAAACTACAAAAACAATAAAGAGAAGTTTTGTTTTTCCTTAATTTTTTAATTGCAATTCAAGATATGTAATAAATTTTTTTAGGATGTGTAAACTGTGGTGAATTCTAAGTCAGTAAAATAGATAGTCTGCGATTAGAGATGAATTTACTTAAATTCCACATTAACAAATTTATTATGAAAAAATTAAAAATTCTCCAATACCATATTTTTATGTTACCCTTTGAAGACATTTAACATTTTATTTTTTCAACAGCACTTTAACTAGGAAGAGAACAGAAGTAACAAAAGTTAAGTAATGTTAATTTTAATGAAACAACACTTAAAAATATTACTAGGAATTACAGAAAAGACAATGTCAGTAAGAGGTATTTTAAATTTTAAAAATTATGGAAGGTATAATTTTCCTATACTGAAAATGCATTTCTGATAGATACTTACCTCCTCTGACGTAAATAGCTATTCTCGTTCAGTGTTGCCCTCTATATGCAATTTTTTTTTCACACATGCCACAAACCTGCTACCTCCCCTCTATTAGAAAAGACTCATTTCAATGTGTGTCTCACGTAAATTATCATGAGACAATCCTTCACAACAAGAGTGCCACACACGCTCATTATGCATGTGACTCCCTCTACATAATTGTACCAGATTATCAGTTCAAGTTTTGGGAGAAAATGGAGCACTGGTTTTCAGTGAAGAGCAAGGGTGAGTAGAGGCAAGTACCTATTGGAAATACATTTTCAGTATGGGAAAATTATAAATTCCAATATGGTACATTACCTCTTCTCACATAAGTAGCTAGAATCCCACATTGAATAGGTGGAGGAACCAGTGTGAAGGAAAGAAAGAAGCATCCACTGGTCATGAAGAGCTCGCATATGAGCATGACCTAAGGGGAAAAGTACAACTGTGGAAGACCACATCCCCAAAAGCTATAGAACCTCACAAGCCGTAATAGAGGGAGTTGTAAGAAAGTGGTGAAATGAAAGCGCCATCGAACAAAGTCGAGGAGCAGAAGGGATCAGATATTGGGTAGGTTGAAGGAAAGACTTCTTCAATTTGATTAACCAGACTACTCGAACGCCACCTCCCAGAGCAGCTGAAGAGTATGATGGGCAGAATGAGCTATCAGCAGCCAATCATCCATATAATAATGAAAACACATCCTGAGAGCATGGAGATGACGAGCAAAAGCTCGATTCGCCCGACAAAAAACATAAGTGGCCAAGCAAGCCCAAAGGGTAGTGTGCAAAACTGATAACTCACACCTCGATTGACAAACCAAAGATATGGTTGGGAACTGTTGAGCTGTTGGGATATGTAAGTAAGCATTCACGATGTCCATCTTGGTCGTCCATAAACCTGGAGAAAAAGCCCACCCGAGGGTGAGAAATAATTCCATGGTAAAATGGGCAAGATTAAGAAATTGACTGAGGTTGATACAATCGATGGTGGGCCGCCAGTCTCCAATTTTCTTGGGGACAACAAACATACTGGAATAAAAACTAGGAGAAAGATGATTCACAGGGTCGATAGCTTGTTCAGACAGAAGGTCATGAACCACCTCTGACAGATGCTGGCTGGTAATGGGATCCCGAGGCAGAGGGAAGGAAATGAGTACCTGTGACAAAGGAGGTGGGGAAAGAAATTGTAAGACAAGTCTGTCTGATAGGACCTGAATAACCCATTGATCTGTGACAACAGATTGCCAAAGAAGAAGAAATTTGCACAATCAAGCTCCCATCAGACCAGAATTGTTTGCATTGTGCCATTCTACACAGAAGAAAATGACAAGATAATGAACCCCTTGAAAAAGGAACAGGTAAGAGCTGAGAAGGACAGGAAACAGGAATATGGGCTAGTCATGGTTCCAACTGCGACAAACGAGCTATCAAAGAAGAAAGTGTAGAGTGTTGATGCAGGGATTCCACATATAATTCCAAAGTGTCAGGAACATGGTCAAATACATACCACTGAAGAAAAGGGGCTATATGTAATTTCCTGAAATAAGTGGGAGGCAAATGAATTTGGGAGAAGGCCGCATAGCAACCCAGAAGATCCCAACAACAGAGAAACCATTCGTGTAAGGTGAGAGCTGAGGATGACAAACGAGCCAACATGGAGGTAATAAGGGAGAGGCTGTCCCTTGAAAAACCCTCAGGATATCAGAAAGGAGAGTGAGTTATGGTAGATAAATACTGTTAAGTGAAGGTAAGACGAAGGCATAAAAACTGGGCATGGCAAAATAGACCCCAACTGCTGAAAGTCTAGAAATAAACAGTCAGCTTGATGGTATGCAAAACACACTGATCTGTTGCCCATGAAGGGCGAGGCACGCTGGCACCCTCAACCAATTGGGAAACAAAATACCCAGCACGAACCATAATATCCGGGGAAGGTGGGAAGATAAAATAAGGAAAAGAAGAACTATCATACAACAAAAGAGGATGGGGAAAGGAAATCAGGGAAAGGGATAAAACATCACATAGCTGAGAAATCATGTCTAAAAATGCCCTATTAGGCCTAGCCGATTCTTCAGCTATAGCATAGGAAAACACAGCAAAATCCAGTGATGGAAAAAGGTTATCAAAAATCTTCATCAGACCAAACAGGTTCAGCTTGTTCTTGAAGAAATGGGGCAAGTTCAGGAGAAGATGGTTGACCCATATAACGATTAATCTCTCAGCAAATAATCACAGATAAATCCAGCGACAGGTCACCCCACCTGTCGCCAGTGAAAAAGTGTTTGTAGGAGGTGTGATACCTAAAGTGGTAACATTAACCTTGGAATTCATAGTAAATAAAAGAATCAAACAAATTGTTTGATGATGAATACAAACATGTGAGAGAGAAAAAAAATAAAGACTGGAAATTAAAAATAATGGTGTCAGCTGTATAATAAAAATGATTAATAAAGAAGACCACTTCAGAAGTATAACTATTTAAATTATAAATACAAAGCATACTAAAGCAAAATTTTAAATGTCTAAACACAAGCACAGCCAAATGAGAAGTGACAGTCTGGTAGAATTGAAAGAGGTAGTCACATGCGTAATGAGTGTATGACACTCTCATTGGTGAAGGGTTGTTCAATTGCACTTTTACCTAACGCTATAGAAAAATAGTTTGTTTCCAATACAGTACATTACCTCCCTTCACATAGATAGCTATTTTCGTTCAGTACTGCCCTCTATATGCAAACTTTTTTTTCATGCATGCTATAAGCCTTCTGCCTCCCATCCATTGGAAATAACTCATTCCAGTATGTGTGTCATGCAAATTATCATGCACTTAAAGTTTCAAAACTGACAGAATAAGAAGTGCTGGAATAGAAAAGAAAATATACTTGACAGGCTTATACTAAACTGTATTTGAATTTATATATAGATTTCATCCAATATGTATATTTATAAAAACTATACACTTAATTCATATTAAATGTATTTAGTTGAAAAAACTAACAGGAAATTATTTTATATGTTCTTTTTAAAAATTACATACTGAGGGGTGGCATTTGAATTCATGAAATTGGTAGAGGAAATAAAGAAAAATGGAAGAGTTCAACTATTACCATGATTTAATATACATTTATATATTATACAATAATTATGTTTAATATTCTTTAACAAACAACTTTTATTTTTCTTAACTGAATTTTGTACACTTTGTGTAACTCATTATTCCTATTCAGAAATTCTTTTTCCTACTGTATGTTCTAAATTTAATTTTTATAGGTAAAATGAGACTGAAATGACCCGAAAAACAAAAAAAATTACACCTGTATAAAAATTTATTGCAGATATAAAAACATTCATATCAATATAATTTATAAGGAAATCTAGTCAAAATTTAAATAAATTTGGCTATTTTGTTTTTAATTTTAGCATTACCTTTTTTTGGCAAGCCTCTTCCATAACAGTTTCTTGATCGTCTACAGTTTTTTGAAAGTTTCCCAAGGACTTTTTTTCCTTTTAAGACATGTTCTTCACCACTTCCTTCATGTTTACACTTCAATTTTGATTGAGTCTGGACTTTTTGTTTCAGAAGTTCTTCATCTGAGTTAGAATTTTGCTTCTCAGACTCAAATGAATTACTTTTATTGCCAAGTTCATCACTTGCATTATTTCCAACTATATCTGGACAATCTTCTCCATCTGTCATACTCATTGCCATTGGCAAATCTATCACATCCAGTGATCTGTCAGCTTGATGTTATCTTTTAAGCACAAGTCAAAGTAATGTATTGAAATTCAAATATCAAACATAACACATTTACATTTTCAAAAAATTTATTTTTAGGTCATATGTCTAATTATATTTTCTATCTAATGAATAATAAAATGGTGACATTATTAGAATTCAAATATATTTAAATGAGGTATAACTTAAATATGATTAACTGCATTTACAATATTGCAATGTTTCATCACAAACTTTAATCTTTACTAGTTTAATATCTAAGTATCATTCACTTATCTGTTATCACTATCAATAAAAAATGAAAACTGAATCCAAGGTTTGTTATTTAATCATGACATAAGTTAATGTTATTCAGACAAGAAATTTAAAATTTACAAAAACAAAAAATTCAATTTTCCTTTTTAACTTTCCTTAACGTTACGTCGTTCATCAACAAAACAAAAGGGATTCTTACTTCAGTTCAGGTAACTTCAATGAGTTAACTCACGCTTAGGGTTAACTTAGTGTCCGTTAGTAAATTGTATTTCTCGTCGATTGCACTCAAGCCTATCTCTTTGATATTAACTACATAGGAAAATTTATTATTAATACGTTCACTATTACCTTTTTCCTGCCTTATCATGAGTTTTCTTTACCAATATATTTCAAATAACATTACACACTACAGCTCATTGCCTTTCATCTTCTATAACCTATTCTACACAGTGTACAGCGTGGTGTTAAAAGGCATAAAATGCAATGTTTCGTAAAAACAACCAGAAAAAATCTCCCGTTAAAATTAGACTTATAAATTGAAATTATGAGTCAATGTTTGATTTATTTATTTCTGGCAGTTATTTTGATTTAAAATTAATTATTTCCGAAGAAATAATTACTAATCAGGGGTGCTCGAAGATTAAGAACCCCTGACTAGAAGTATGGGCTTAAATTGAAAAACAAGAAATTAATGCAAACAAGCTGTGTAAACTTAAAAATAAGGGTAATTAAAACGTAAACGGCCGATATAGGACAGATGGTCCATCAGGGCGGCGGGGATCTATAAATCCTATGACAATAATTTTGAAGTTGTGGAGGGGATGAAACGGGAGTACCCCGAGAAAACCCGCTTTCACTGGTAATGACCAATCCGTTACCAGTGTCCTGTTAACGAGAAGTAAGTTGGAAGAGCAAAGTGAACTCCGGTGCTGGGGTGGATTATAGATTAAATGATTTACGGATTCTTCTGATGTTTGTAAGGGTTTTACTGGGGTGTAGGTTCAAGTTCTGGTGTGGTAGTGCCGGCGTGAAGTCTTCTGTGTCGCTGTTAGGTGGGCGGAGAGCACGGAAAGGTTCGTCGGGTAGGTCATAGTCGGGGGATGTGTGGATTACGAGAGCATTGGGTGAGTTTGGCGACGAGGGTGCACTACCACTCACTTGACCCAATTATTTCTCTATCTGCAATTAATTATCACGCTTTATTTGCCGCGCTTATATACAAGAATAGAGGGCGTCTAGAATGCACTCCCCTCTTCATGAACCTTCTAGACACTTATCATGTGTTACTAGCGTCACGTGACCTCCGCTGTCGTAACACTGCCCCTTCTTTAGTATTGTTCGGAACGAACAATAGCCACTTACATTAAACCAATAGATAATTAACAATAACTTAATTAAATATACAGAATTTACAAACACAAAATTAAAATTCAACAAAGTCTCTTAATTTTACGGGACAATCTTCTTCCGTATTGGTCTCCGTCTCGTTGGCTTTTCCTTCACGTGGGGTTAATCTGCTCCATCAGAAAATGTCCTATTATCGGTAACAGTCACATCAGTGGTAATAACTTCATCAAGGGCTTCACTGTTTTCCCTTCTCAAAACCGGGTAGAGTTTCTTCTTCGACAGTGGCTTTTTCAGGGGACACATCTTCAGCAGCATCATTTGTTCCATTGTTCACTTAGTTCCAACTGAAATGTCCTGGACCGTGGAAACTTCCCTTTGATCTTCCTGGGTTTATACAACCACACCTTG